TTCCTAAAGTATATGTTTGATTTTTTAAATACTTTTATTTTTTCAAGACAACAGTATCTCCAGCAGAAAAGATATCCAAAAATGTCGTTTTAAATAGTAAAGAAATCTATGTTTTTGAAACTAATAAAGAGAGCAGAAGTCAATGACTCATTTGAATTATTTAGCTTGACATGTTTACTGCTCCAAAATCTTATAAATGTTTCTCAAATTAAAAAATATTGCGTTCAAAAGGGAAAAAGTTTTTTTTTTTTACCCGGACATTTAAAAAGAATATATTTTAGAGCAGTGAGCACAAAATCGTGACACCATATAACCGTGATATTTTTATCCAAGGTTATCAATCCATCAAAATCTTATATCGGCCCATGCCTATGGACCACTGCAGGCAATTATAATGGAATAATAATAATCATCATCATCATCATCATCATCATCTTCAGCAGATTTTCAACATTAGCCACTTGCCATTTTTACAGGCCACAATTTTGTTGTTGGAAAAATATATTTTATATGTGCATAGATTTGACTTTGAAATGCTAAAATTACTTGATTTAAATTATGTTATGTCTATATGCCTCCTGATTCATTTCACATTTTTGTGTTGTGAATGAGCTTGCTCAATAGTGTTCATAGTGTCGCATTGCAATTAGTTTTTATTTCACATGACTTTTCAGGGCTCAAAATTAAGGATTTACCAAATTTATATCCGACCACATTAAACATGAATAAACAATTGTTCCTTAGCTACAAATTTTAAATAATGTGTCAAAACAAGCGAAATAACAAAACATATTAAAACATATTAATGAAAATAACTGTAAACAAAAGCAGGTAAAACTATATTGTGTGTGATAAAGAAAGGATGATCACCTGCACATGGTTAACGTTAGGCCAATTAATAATCTGTTAAAAAACAGTTAAAGAGAAAGCAGTGACTGCTGCTGCTTACAAAAGGAGATATACAAGTTTATTATAATTTTTTTTCAATCTTAATTTCTTAAAAGCAGCAAGACTGTGGGTGTGCGATTATCGCTTTTTGCACAGTCTATTTCAAATAGAACCGATTGGACTATTTGCATTTCCTCTAGGCACGTTTGCATCGCGCAAGTAAACAGTAGCGTGCAACACAGCACCTGTGCTCGCGAGTGATCATCCTCTCATTCACTTGCTTTCTTTTGTTTGCGCAAACACAGTTATTTTTGTCAGTCACGCTGCTTCTCGATTCAAAGATTAGATTTGCAAGCATATTGAGCCATCCTTATTGTCAAACCCTGCTCATAAGAAAACTTCTATAAAAATGATTTGTAACCAGCCAAAGTGGCAAGTGGGGGTGTCTGTAGCCCGTCACAAATCTACCCACATTTGGTGGGTTGGCATTTGTTAATGTCAATAATAATAATAATAATAATAATAATAAAAATAAAAATAATAATTTAAAGCTAATTTTTAAGGTATGTAAAGGCAGTTGTCTGATCAGTAAAATGTATTTTCTGCAAATAAAATTTATTATGATTTATAAAACGATGTTTCACTTAAGACTTGAGCTAACAGTTTACAATTAATTCTGGCTCTTTTAGAAAACAGGGAAAATAGCACGAGTAAATAAAAAAAATGATAACCCGTTACAGTAATATCAGCACTAAATTTGAACATTTGACTTATATTTAGGGTATTTATTTAAAATCATTTTGATATAATTTAATATTTTAACATTAATTTCTAAATATTTTTTATGATCGCCAGCGATGAAGTTACAATTAAACTAATACATTTGAGCAATTAAATGCTTAAACTTTCTTGAATATTAATAGTTTAAGAAAAAATCTTACTGAACCACATCAATATACATTAATATTGTATAATATAATAATAATAATAATAATAATACAATAAACGTTAATGTGTTCAAAGTGCATAAACTATTATAGTATATTGTTTATGCTTGTTTTAATTCTTAAATGTCATTTTAAAAATTATACTATATTGCCCCATTTACACTTTTCAAATGCAAACACACTGAACTATATGTTGGACAATGTTTTGTCACTAGAGGGCACACAAGAACAACAACAATAGCTAAGCTGCAGAAAGCCTATGCTTCCACCAGGTGGCTCTTCCACACTATGGCTGCTCCAATGTGTACATAAACGGTATGTCTAGGGTTTGAAACCCTAGATAAATTGTGTGGGGTGGGGGAGGTGAAGCAGACTCACTTGGGAAATGCGTCGAAGCAGTAGGTCTTCTTGGTGTCAGGAAAAGCCACCCGCATGCCTGAGGTCAGAGGAGAGTGAAGGACGACCGCAGCGCTCTCGTACCGAGAGGCCAGATCCACTGAAGGAACCGTACCGATGCTCTGGCCATAAATAATCACATTCTCTGGCCTGATCCCATACCTGGAACATGACATTCAGATGATGAGTTCAAACGTAGATACACATACAATCATGAATAAGAATATAAATATCATGAATCAATGGCACAGGCTGTTTAACCTAATTTTAGAACCAGACTAACTAGTAAAGTGGTGGAAAAATGAATGACTGACAGACTGAATTTTTGAAAAGACTCTTCACAATCATTATATAGCTTCATCTGACATGCCCAACTTAAGTGTTATTACGTCCGCTAAAAGAGGAAGGCGTGAGCCCAAATTTAAAGTGCAAATACTACAGCAAGTATTCATTAAATCAAACCATTCCAGCAAGTCCAGTTGCTTGCTGACTTCATTCCATTACATTTCATTAAGTGATTGCGCAAAGGGAAAGCTGAAAATTACCTTATCATTTACTTTCCCTCGCACGGTTTTAAACCTTTGAGATTCGTTCTTCAGTAAAACAAAAAAAAAAAGACATTTTGATTAATGCTGGTTGCTGGGACGCATCCACTTCCTTAGCAAGAAAAGGAATTACAGGGAGCCAATGGGTCCCAGCAGCATTCATTTTTCAAAATACCCTCTTTTGTGTTGTAACAAGAAAGTAAGTAAAATTATGTTTTTAATAATTGAAGGGTGAGTAAATGATGACAATATCCATATTTGGATGAACTATTCCTTTAAAGAAATGGTACACAAATAAATGAACCAATGCTAAAATGTGGGTTAACTTTTACGCTCTATGTATATTTGTATATGTACCCAGAAAAATCACAAGGCAGCAACTCAATGCAACAAGTATGTAGACGTAAGTTCAAATAAAGCATCAGTATGGTGAAGAATGTCATTTTAAAGGATTTTGCATATGGTATGGTTGCTCATGCCAGATGGGCTCAATTAAACATTTCAGAAACTGCTGATAGTGAGATTTTTATCTCCAAACATCTTGAGAGTTTACAGGTCAGAAAAAGAGAAATATATTGTGTCTAATGGGGAAAAAAGTGGTTGTTTTTACCCAGACATTTAAAAAAAAAAAAAAATAAATAAATATATATATATATATATATATATATATATATATATATATATATATATATATATATATATATATATATATATATATATATATATTGGATCACTAATCACAGTACCGTGATATTGTGATATTTATCCAAGGTCATCATACTGTCAGAATGATGGAGAATGACCAAAGTGGCCTGAGCAGATAGAAAGTCAACACTAGCTTGGTAGCCGTTTACACTAGTGGATCACAATCCAGCATTTCTCTAGTTCCAGTTCATGTCTACTCTAGAACAGAATATGCATAAGCTGTGAATAACAGGTAATAAAGTTGTAAATAATGTTCAGTTTGTTGCACAGAGTGATCGTTTGGGAGCCACGCGAAAAGTATGATTTGCATGCATGTTGTTTTTTTTCTCATAGAGTGATGGCAGCCATGACATGAGCATACTCGGCAGTTAGCTGATGATCATTTGAATGATCATATTGCATTTTAGGAGTTATGATTATGACAAGCGTTTGGTATGTTTTCTTTCATAGTGAACACAGCATGTTATGCATGATAATAAATATTTAACAGTGTCAGTATAACTACTCTAGCCTGTATAATATTGAATATAATGCAAGCGGGAACTGGTAATGACAAATGTCTGATTTTACCAGTGACCAAAATAGTCTAATAATATTGCCAATGGCAGATTGCAAGTATATGTCTCAAACATAATAATTCAACTTCAGATTTATGAATAGTTGTGTTCTGATGTCAACGCTTTAATAACCAGGAAAAAGTCTATTCAAGTCCACCGTTCCAAGTCTATATACAACTTAGCATTTTAACCAACAGCAGACCTACTCAAGTTTTTTTTTTACCATTTGTTTGAGAAATAACAATAATAATAATAGCCTACTCATATTAACTTTTTTCATCAGCAGAATCATGAGAAAATCATGATCTTTCTTTTAAGCGAAAAAGTCAAGAATATTATTTTAACTTTTATTATTACTTAATATCAGTATAGATGAGGAACGTTTCCATTCTGATGTGCAGTTTTAGAATTAAGCTCACTAGTGTTAAAGCGGTCTCAAATAACCACATTTCACAACAAAGTTCTACAAAAGAGATTTGCTGCACAATACATGTTTTAGTACCTTGAAGCAGATGAGTAACAGCAGCAAAAATACAGCAGTGAGTGCCACTCATGTTACCTAAAACTGCAAACTGAAACTACAATTCCACGCAGGCTTATATAAAACAACACCACCAAATAAACTGTTTGCTGGTATAATAAGTCCAGATTTTTGCTGCAACATTTGCATGGTAGGGTCAGAATTTGATGTACATACGAGAGCATGAATCCATCCTGCCATTTATAAATGGTTCAGACTGGTGGTAAAGAAAGCTGAGATGCGTTCTAGGCACACTTTTGACCTTTTATTTCAAACTAAGTATCATTTTAATGATTTTAATGCCCCCCGAGTTTTGTTGCAGACCATTGAAATCCATTTATGACCACAGTGATTACATCCAGTGATGGGTAATTTCAGCAGAAAACACCATGGCAGAAAGCTTAAGAAGGGAACTTTCCCTTTAGATGATTTGTTTCTTGAACATGTAATGAGTTCACATGAGTTTGCTAAACTCAAAAGACCTTTAGTATTTGGTAGAACAGGATGTGCAGTCGACAAACGATGCTACAAATGGAAATATGGACCAAAATCCATGAAAAATATTTCCAGCACCTTGGTAAATCTATGGCAGAAATTATGATTGTTCTATAGGTAAAAGGATTCTGGCCAGGTTTACCTGATAAAGGGGTTGGTGAGTGTTTGCATAATGTATTCAAGAGTGAGGAACAGTGAACTAGATGACATCAGTGAAGCACTTTAGTTCCCTGCATGAGAGTCAGGAATTAATCAATTGCTGTCTGCAGTAAAAAGCCATACACAAAGACGCTTTCCAGAAATCCAGTAAGACGTTCAATTCAATTATCAGAGATTCATTTCTCTTGTAGAGGGAAGTGGGCGGCAACATTAGTTTTTAAATCAGCAAACAACGTGACTTTATCCAATAAGCTCTGGAAACATGCAGATGGTGGTGGACGGCTCGGTTTTCCTAGGGGGCAGTGTGTACACATTCCATGCCTTATTATAAAGCGCATGATTGCTTCAGTCAGCTGACTGCACTACCACAAAGCACTGGGTGAAGAGATCATGGACCTGAAATATGGACAAAAAATGACTCCTGAATAGTACACAGTGATACGAAGGCTGTATTAACATTACAAACAATGAATGAATTATGAGCTGTATCCAATGTGCATTTACACAGCAGTCTAAATGCTCCATAAATGTTGCTTTCAGTTCTTTTGTTCATTCTTGAATGCCGTCTTGGTGGCAACCAGAAGGTGACAGAACTGGTTTGAAATGACATGAGCAAAATAAATATAAATATTTACATCTGGTACAACTAAAAATGTATGGGATGTGTAATAATATGATTATAAATGGGCCATTGAGACAGATGAGCTGATCAGTTTTGTCCTCGGGGAGGGGGGGGGGTGATTTCACATGACTGTACATTACTTGACATGATCATGAGAGAGTAGGTGGAATGCGTTTCGGTAAAATGACAGAACTGATGTTTTGTCTGAAGGAAAAAATAAGTGACATATCACAAAGCTATTTTCATTCTTATAAGAACAGTTCGTCTACAATTGAACACGGTTCAATTTTGAATCATTCATTGCGCTGATAGTTTTTGCTCCAAACACATTAGCGGTTTCTAATTTTCTAACTCTTTTCTAATTGACAAGTAGAAACCTAAAATTTGTCACACTTATCTTGTCATATGAGCCCTGCATACATATAGACTGAAGTATCGATCACAGACCAAGCAAAAATGCATGGTACACATATCCAAATCCATACATGACCTCATACAAAGTACAATTTCACTGTGGACTTAACATTCTTACATTTCTTTTATACTGACAATTTTATTCATTTCCTTTGGCTTAGTCCTTTTAGGCCGAGTTCAGACTGCATGATTTTTAAAGTAGTCGTGTCACAGATGTTTTCACACTGCATGACTATCTTGGCTAGTGTTTTGTCGCTGCTTTGTTTACACTGCAAGATGGATCGGCGACAGGGGCTTTCACGTTGCATAACTTTACAATAGGAAATCCAAACTACGTCTCGCACCCAAAAACACATAGTATATCTTTTGTTATTAAGTACATAATGAGAAAGAACCTTTTAATGGGGTAGAAAATACATTTGCTCACCTGGGTTTGAAGGGAATTAGCAATTTCTCCTCAACTTTCTCTTTTAACTTTCTGTATGAAACGTCAAACAGACACGGGTGCTCTGGTCAAACCTCTACTAGTTTTTCCTCCATTTCTTGGGTCCAAATAAACCAAAAACGAGTGCTTATAACTTCTACCCCAACCTCCCGCTGGCCAGCAGGTACACACAAACTAATGAACACTGCTCTCTCATTAGCTGTAGGCGATCGCCGATGATATTCTCAGTCAAAACTCAGTTCACACGACATGATTTGAATCGCCGACAGCTCCAATTATTTAGCACCCCAAATATCTCACAGGCATCGGCGACTCATCAACGATTCTCTCAGATCGAGTCTTTGATAGTTCATACTGTGTGATTGTCACTCACGAGCACCGATTTGCCTGTGATTTCAGGCATTTGTCAGCAATTTCTCAAAACCTGTGGGCGAGTCAAAATCGGGGCTAAAATCATGCAGCCTGAACTAGGCATAATCAAGGTACTAATGGCGGAATGAACCACCAACTTATCCAGCATTTGTTTTACGCAGCAACCCAGTACTTGGAAACACTACACTCACACATTCACACTCACACACTACAGCCAATTTAGTTTATTCAATTCACCAATAGCACATGTCTTTGGACTGTGGAGAAAACCAGAGCATGGAGAAAAACATGGGGAGAACATGCAAACTTCACACAGATGGACGACCTTCGACCTTCTTGTTTCAAGGCAACAGTGCTAACCACTGAGATACCATGTTGACAATTTATTTGTTTTTTTTTTTGTTTTTTACCATGTTGCTCTATTTCTTGTACATTTTTATGGACACTTGTTTTGTTGTACTTCCATGTAAAATAGCAAATAAAGTCTGTTCTTTTCTGAGTCTATTATATTTGATAAAGTCAACAAGGACCATTACAATTAAATTTCATAATGATATTTATTATAACACAGACTTGGTGTAGATATACTTTCCACTGAGGTGAATGAAGTCTCTTGGTAATAACATGCAAATCACCACACACCAACACACATGGTCTGCTCTGAGCTAATCATAAGTGAAAGTCGGCACAGGCAGGGCTTGAAATTGCGAACATTTTGGCTGCATATGTGCCCGAAATGTAATCTATGTGACCTCATAATATATTTGGGAGCATTTGTGCCACTGCATATAATGGTTGTAGTGCGACCGGTTTCGATTTTTTCTAAAAACATGCTGAATCGCTCTTCCCTGCCGCTGTATTGTTTTAAATTAGCTGTCAATCACTCAAGTCTTTCCACAGTCAGATGACAGGGAGATTTTGTTACCGCAGGAAATGCAAATGGCCGAAGAGTGAAAAGTACACAATTTGCAAACCCCACCTAAAGTTACAAATAAAGTCACTGATTAGAGCGATCATGACATGTGGTGAATGTTGATCCGTCAGCCGAGACCAATCAAGTGTTTTCTGAGAAGGTGCCCGAATCTCCATGCGTTGCATTCTATGCGTGTTCATCTCAAATGTCCGCTAAATGTAAAATCTCACACTGTACACATGACTGCCAAATAAGCTCTGCTTTACTAAGTTTAAACTGAATCTGCAGCGCATAACAGAGCGGTACTGCGCCGGTGGTCATCGTGAGAATCCTGCTCTTCCTGCTCATACATTGGTCCAGCTGACTTGCCTGCTTTATTCCACAAACACAGAAAAATGAAAATAAGTGCATAGCGAGACTGAGCATTTAAAATAAGACAAATTGAAACCAAAACTTTTAAAGAGTGATAGAAGTGAGACTTTTCTTACTTTTTTGTTCATTCTTTCCTGAGATGTGTATTATTTAGTTACTAACTAAAAAAAAAAAGTTTTGCAGCTTTCAGCATTGAATTGAATGATTTATTTTAATCTTTCGTTTGTTTTGTAGCCGAAATATAATTTATTAGATTGACATGCATCTAAAAACAATAGTGCAAAATAAATATTTCTGACTACAATTTTTCATTTTAGTTTGATGCAAACCATACATTTATTTTTCATGAAGTAACAGACTTTTTACAGCAGATAACTCACATTCAAGGCAGCATGATGATGAATAATGTAATTCATTGTTAGTATTATTGTCATTTTCGTCATCATTAATATTTCATATTTATTAGACAAACATTTTGGAATTATTGCACACAAAAATCCATAAGTCATCTCAGCATTAGTAAGATAGTTATTTCTGTTTTTTGTTAGTCCTGATTGATGTTGTTTTCAAATATAATAAATCCCTTAAAATACAATTTGCAATGGAGCCAATTTATTTTTGGTGGGTGCTCCTCAATTTTTTCTGGTGCTCCTAAATATTTTAAGTTGAGAGCACCAGTGCTACCAAGTAAAAAAGTTAATTTCAAGCCCACATAAACCATATCTGACCCCATTTGAATTCTGCTAAGAAATCTGCATTTTAAAGCTGATAATGTTTAGACTGACCAAGCAATACTAGACCATGTCTGTTATATGCAGCTTAAGCTCAATGGCTCTGGCTGGCGAAGCTGTGGAACACAACATTTCATTGGGTATATTTTAACAGAGGAGAAACTACTTAATGTGCTCCACCCTGTCTTCATGTTCAGCTGAAAGTAAATTAACAAAAAAGCTGATAATTCCAAGACACTTCAGTGGACCCTTGATAGAACTCAAACACTTAATGGTGCAATTTCATGTAAATCTTTAATTTATTAACAATACAATTATGACAATACAGTGTGTCACATATAAGGATCGCCACTTGTTAGCATGGCAACAAATCATAGCATGACAACTGTTTTGAAAAAAAAAACAGCAACCAGTACCAGATTACTTTTATTATAATAGCTTAATATAGCAGCTGGCGGACAGCAATGCATAACTGATAAAGGTCTGAACATAAAACCCTGCTGTGTGGCACCACTAGGAAGTTATCTTTCACTTCCTGGGTAGACAATGTTGATATGACTTTAACTGGGCCTGTCCCTCCAGGACTCAGTGGGAATCAGTTGCTAGGCAACCAATCAATATTTGACTTGGAGAACAGGCTTCTGGCACCTCCCCCCTCACCTCTCAGAGGAATTTCCACTCAGTGGAACACTGACACCAAATTCACACACACACACAGCTCCTCAGTCTAAAAATACTCAAGCACAATGGTCATTATGTCACTTCAGAAGGAAGCTTTCTTCAATATGTCTGCTACTGTTTGCTGCTGTGGTGTTTCCTTAATGACATCACAGTCATCATCTTCCCAAGAGGAAATTCAGTCTCAGACAAAAGCCTTTTCCTTTGCTTCTTCCTTCAACCGGAATGGTCTCAGACTTTGGAAATGGAAGACAATACACATCATGGCTATGTTGAAGACAAAAGCAGATGGTTCTGTTTGACAGAATTTAGAGACATACTAAGCCTGGTTGCATACAAACTAGCTTATTGCAATGGCTGGCTGTGCTAACAGATGGTGTCATCCGGACCAACCCCTTAGATATGAACCAGACCCATGTCAAGTCATTCAGGTTGTGCCAAAACATTCCATTGTGGTTTTCTGTATCCATATGCTCTTCTTGTAAATGCTTAACAAAACTGTGTGTGTATGTGTGTGCGCATCAGCCCCACCTGATGTTTCAACACTGACTCACCTGGGTGAGCAGACAGATAGGTGTGGTTGTTCAAGTAACATAACACAGTATAAACAATATTATACCAATATGCTGGCAAAATTGATTGATACTAAACTGACTGTCTCGGCTCAGTTGGTGTTTCTGTGTGGAGTTTGCATGTTCTCCCTGCGTTCGCGTGGGTTTCCTCCGGGTGCTCCAGTTTCCCCCCCCAGTCCAAAGACATGCGGTACAGGTGAATTGGGTCAGCTAAATTGTCCGTCGTGTACGAGTGTGTGGATGTTTCCCAGAGATGGGTTGCGGCTGAAAGGGCATCCGCTGCGTAAAAATGTGCTGGATAAAGGCTGATATATACTTCTGCGTCAAATGCCGGCGTATGCTACGGCCCTGACGCATAGCCCTTCGCCGTGGCCATCGGCGTCACTGACGTGCACCTCTCTAAAAATGTAACTACACGTCGCAACAACGAGTAGCGTAAGCTCTGTGATTGGTCGGCTTGGTAGCGCTGACAAGTCTGGGTGGGACCGAGAGCCACGCGAATGGCGCAAGCGATTGTTTACAAGTGTGGAGTCCCGTGAAGGAGCTCCGGATGGATAGTTTTGTTTTGTGTTTACCTCATAGTTAAAGTTGTTGCACGTCCGCCGGTTCCTGCCTCAAAATGAGCGAGTTTGAGCCACTTGTACATCCCGGAAGTGTTCAGGAAAAGCAAAAAAGCAGCGAAGAAACTCGACACAGAGGAAGATTTACATCTTACTGACAACTAGCGTTTCGGAAGTATTAATGCAGACCAGCAGAGACAGCGCGCAGAAGTATAAATGCACAGCCACGCGCGTTGCATGCGCGGTGGGTTACGCCGGTCACTTGACGCAGAAGTATAAATCAGGCTTCAGTTGGCGGTTCATTCCACTGTGGCGACCCCGGATTAATAAAGGGACTAAGCCGACAAGAAGACGAATGAATGAATAAACTGACTGTACACAGAAAAAAATGTAAACGTTCAAGTTTGATCAAGAAAATCAACAGGGGTGAACAAACTACTAGTCCATCTTGGTTATCAGTAAATAAAACATACTTAAAATATTGGCATTTTATACTTTATTGTTGTTCTTCATTTTAAGAGTAAAATCAACTAGCATCAATTCTACAATTTTTAAAGAATACACATTTTTAAAAAAAAAATCTTCAGAGTCTCTCCAGATAAAAAAAACATTGTCGCTTAACATAAAAAATATAAATAGATATTTTACTTTTAGGATGTTATTACTGCTAACATTTTGGAGCAACTTCTAAATGTTCATGTATAAGCCTAGTGTCACTAAAGCCAAATGCTACAATGCTCATTATAAAGTGTATTAATATAAATAAATATATACATGAATTTAAATATCAGTGCAAGACAAAAAAAAAAAAAAAAAAAAGTATAACATCAAACATTTTTCATTTCTAAATAAATGGTGAAGATTGCATTTCTGTATGTTTTCTGGGTAAAGTAACTGACTGTTGTTGTAACTACATATTATATAAAAATACTAATTTCATGAGCAGGTTCTAATGTCCTAATAAACAAAATAATGTTAACTTTCTCTGGATTTATTTTGTGAGAATATCAGTAATCAGTACAAGCAAACAAAACGGTGTTCAACCTGATGTAACAATTGCTTTTTTTCTGATTCTAAATCATACATCACTGGCCAGTGAACAAAGGGATGAGCAAAAAACCTTTGCCACACGCCTCGCTGAGTCAATCAACATGGTCTGATAAGCACTCTCGTCTATTGAGATCAGATGGAGAATTTCCAAGGCAAATATTTTCAACAGACATCTAACGCCAGGTGCTCTTTATGCTAGCTGTTCGGTGGATTATATTATTGGGTAATACAACAATACCTAAACACACATGTGCCTGTAACAGTGGTATGCTTTACACATTTTTTTAAAGCCTCTCATGCCAGTGATGCCAATTAAAGGTGGAATTACATTTGATTTCTGTGATATTATAGGTTAGTTTTTCCCCCTGATTTATGCCTTTCCAATCTGAAATCTCAAGAACCTAAAATCCTCCATTTGAGTGTAATTTAATTTGAAAAAAGCAGGCCATGCTAGCAACCCTGACAGAATTAGATTAAAATGCCAATTATCCTCCAGAAATGGCGGGGAAAGCAGTGAATAGAATGGCAGCCTACCAAGCTTTTGCTTGAAAAGGACAAACAAATGTGTTTCTAGCAATAGAGGAATAAAAAAAAACCCAGCAGGAGTTAGAGTTATTTTGCAAGAATGAAATAAGATTTGGATAGGTCGGCCTACTTACTCCCGCTAATCTAAAAACATACAAAACACCTTACACAAACACATACAGGCAAAGGACAAAAAGGGAAAGTCTTCTGTCAGACTGGTTTATCTGCACTTTAATATGAATCATGTCCCCATGTGGGACAATTCGAACAGATGCATCTTCCATAGCTGATATGGCAACGCGTGGGAACATCGAAAGTGACCAGAAGAACAGCGTGGGACTGCTTCATGAGGTTCAACCCAACCCTCGGGGATATGACTTGTCAAACAGCAAGGCCTGTGTTTAAGAGCATCAGCTGTGCTTTCTGACACCACAATGCATGCATGCATGCACAGAGCAGCAGTATGGACACACGGCTATTCTACACGGGGACCCAAAACATTCACGTGGTCACAAAGCCTCTGAATGTTTAACTCCGTCTTGAGTCTTACATGAACAATAATGTTGTAACATCCTGCTACATTGAAACAGTCAAATAACTGAAAGAGTTCTCATGACCAACAAACACAGATGACATGCATTCACGGAAAGACCGGAATTTGGAGCACATGATACAGTGAATGGCCTTGAGATAGTTTCTCTATGTTCACAGTGTCTCAAATATCCAGAAGTCACACTAGAAATAAACATTTCTGCCGAGAAGTGTATTTTTGAGAAATACAAGGAAATAAAACTTTCCTTTGCTGAACACTTCAAAAATCTAAATAAAATCACTGTCTAAACCAAAATATGACTTGACAGGTCCACTGCATGAATTTTTCTTAAAAGGACTTTAATACCTTTATACCCAGTATTAAACGTCTTGTTAAGTGTCTTGAAATGTGGATTTTTTTGGGACATAGAATAGCTTACCTTTAAAAAAACAGCCAATATAGTTTCATTTTATCACAGCTCTGCCAGTGAGTGGCTCTTTCTCAATTCCAAGAACGCAGAGAACGGATATATGTTGCACAATATAAATCAAACAGATTTTTTTATACGAATTTCAGCAAACAAACACCCTAATGTGTTTATTTCTTTATTAAGATGTCCATGGTAATATTTACTTTCACCGTCATTTAGGGAAACTCCTGAGGTAAATAAGTCATATCTCTGAACTTTAATAATAAATCTAAATAAAATGCAGCGCTTCCCACCTCCAGCTGCAATGACTTCTGGGACTTCCATAGCAAGTTCGCTGCTCAAGTCTGCATCAGTGCGTCCTCGATATCAAGATCACATCCGGGAAGCTTCACACGTCCTCCGTACTTGCGCTCTTGAGTATTGGAACTGAACTTAAAGTAGGTAGCTGATGATGACGTTGCACGAGAACACAAGGACGCATGACCACTGAAGAACGCATATTGAAAAACAGCCAGTGATTGAGCTTGAGAAGCATCTTGTAGGGGGCGGGGCATGTCAGATACTAAAGAGCATTTGATTGGTTAAGAACATTTCGATTTAGGCAAAAGTGACAAACTTTAAGCTTTGGATGTTTATATCAGTTTTATATTTTCTAAAACGCAAATTTTGTCACTGTTTTGGAGCAAGTGTTCAAAAGAAACTACTTTATTGCTAATATCAGGTCATAATGGCAATGCATATTGACTACTCGCTTATGATCTATGAAAACTCAACAGGCACAAGACAGGCTGTTGGGGGATGGGGTTAGAGAGATATAGGGGATATTAAATATAACCACATTCCCTTGGGAATCTCAAGGACAAAAGGCAAAATGGATACCAAAGTGACCATTCAAAACCTACCACTGAAAAGGAAATGTCTGAGGCCTGGATCAACAACCAATGTGAAAAACTGGTTCATTATTAGTCGCTAGAATTCAAAGGGAGTGCAAAAATACGCAAAACTACACAGGCTTATATTGAAATCCACCATTTGGTGGGTTGCGGTGTATAAGAGTAGTCTGAGGTTGACCTGACATGTTTGTAAGTGGTTTTCAAACACAATCGAGCACTTAAAAGATGCAGAAAAGACTGAAAGAGTAAAAGAACATTAAGCCTTGTGTGAATAATAGTGAAGCCTTTCTTTTAAACTTTTAAAGATTAGTTACAGCACTCCATGTCTATAAAGAGTATGTTAAACAAAGAAGTTCAATGAGATATAAAAAATAAGTTGTTTGAATGTCAAATAACCCCAATGGATGATCGTAAGGATTTAAAAACAGCTAGATGGTATGGATCCAAATAGTTTCTTAAAGCCGGACAACTGTGTTCTTTTAATATATTTATCAATTCATCTTGAAAAAAGACTATCATGTTATGAACAAAAGGCAAAAATTGTTTCACCGAAATAGAAAATGTTTCTTGAGAAGCAAAACTGAATATTAGAATGATTTAAATGCTGAAAACTTTGTATGCCATCAAAGAAATAAATTATGTTTTCTATTATAGTACTGATATAATATTTAGAAAGACTTATAAATGACAAAGACTGCAAATTTTGGAATGATAGTGGATTTAAACAATTTTTTTTACCCGCATTCATACGATAACATCAATAATTGGCTAGCCAGGTTTGGTGGACAGTTTTTACACCATTCCAGGGCAATATACACACAGCTTGTAAAACAAATGACAGATGTATTGAATGGAGTTACTTTTAGGAAGTGTGTGTGACAAATACAAAAGACAAATAAAAACCCAATTCCAGATAATAGTGGACAAAATATTTGTCTGAACAACCTCAAAAATGTTTTCAAAATGAAGTGCTTTAAACAAACTCTTACCTTGTTCGTAGTGCATGCCAGGCTGCATCCACATCAGCATACAGATTCTTCTCTGAAGGCTTCCCTGAGCTCGCCCCATAGCCCGAATAGTCATAGGAGAACACATTACAGTTGATCCGGGAGCCCAGGCCAATGTAGAAACTACTCATCTGACCCAAGTCTACAGCGTTACCATGTGAAAACAACAAGGTGTAGCGAGCATTGGGGGAACATCGCACAAACATACAGGCGATGCGGTTCCCTCTAGAAGTCCGGGTCATGAAGCATTCAATAGCGTCCTTCTCCCGGGCTGTGTATTGCCAATCCGCACGCTCGGAAAGATGGAGTGTCCAACGGCTGCCACTCTCATCACACATCAGGGTGTAGGTGGGTTCAGGTGGAAGAAAGGCCAACTTGGAGGCTATTCTGCTCGGGCATGGTGGACAGCAAAAAAGGCAACACAGCTCACTCAATGACAGGTGATTCATCCTTCACTTGAAAAACAGAACACAGCAGATTGGCTAATGAGTGGGGTGGATGCACAAAAAATAAAAATAAAACAGTTGCATCTTTAAGGAAGAGTTCACTTAGCGATCAAATTCTGTCTTTTACTTGCCCTTGGACTATTTTAAACACATGACTTTCTTTTAAGAAACAAACGTCTTTACGTTTTTTACGTTTTTACGTCAGGCAAATTTGAACAATTAGAACTTTCATTTTTGGATAAGCTACACTTTTAAAGGAGAAGCATTAAGTGTAATCTAAATAGTAAAAGAGACTTAAGGTAGCATAGTAAAACAATTACACACACACACCACTGTAATCAGCTTAAAACGACACGGCACATATGCAAACAACCTATTTACTCAAGGAAGACTGTATCTGCTTACTTTAAATAAGTAAATATGCAGACATATTGCTTAAAGGGACACCAAAAAGGAAAGAAAGAAATGCTGTAAATCTGCTCACCTTGAGGCCATCTGAGATGCAGGTGACTTTTTTTATCAGTAGAAGAATAAAGATTTTTTTTAGCTGAACCGGTTTCTTGGAAATTTCTAAAACGCCAATCAATGGTTACCAAGATTTTAAGTCAAAAAAGCATACACAGACAAAACTAAATTATTATCCATGGTTCATAATATTGAGGTCTCATTAAGCAAAGTTATTTTGCTCAGGGCCACAGGCTGTGTATTTAATGCAATAATGTCGAAATCATGCTCAGTTTCTTGCAAAGATTGATTAGTTGCTTAATAAAACCTCAATGTTTTGTCAGGAGTCATGGGTATTATTTATTTAGTTTTCCTGTATAGGTTTTGTAAACATTGAGAGCCATTTACTTGCATTTTATGAATTGCTACACCCATGTCTTCACCTAAAAATCTTCTTTATTATTCTACTGATGACAATTAAAAATTGACTTTTTTAAAAATATATATTTTTGGATAATCTGTGACAAAACTCAACTGAAAAATCCCAGCAGGCACACAACGTATTAAGATATTAATATTAGGTTAGATTTATGACTGACCAAAATTCGATGTCTAGCCAGCATCCAAGGACAACATTATTTTGACATCCAATAATGATATCAAACAACAGTGATATTTGGTTGATTTCAGGTTGTGTTGGAATATGATCAAAATCCAAAGTCGAGTCAACATCATATTGACGTCAAATATTGATATTCATTCGTCAGGTATGGCAACCAAAATCCAACGTCTGACAAACATCATTGTGGTAACGGCCAGAGCCACACAACGTCAAGCTGTAACAATATTAGACTCTGATATTTGTTTGCTTTTAGGTTGCGTTGGAAAGTGACCAAAATGCAACATCTGTCCGACATACTTTCATTTCTAACGATTTTCATTCCACCCAAATTGCAACATCCCACGACGCTGGGGTACAACAAAAATCTGACGTCATGTTGACATCCTTTGCCCAATAGAATAAAATATATAATAATTTAGTACAGTGAGCGAGTATGATCTTAATTTGTTTTTATTCCATCACAAAAGAAAGAGCTAGAGTGCGTGTATTCACAACAAACAAAGTTGTAGTTTTTACGCTGCTCTGGGCATTTTAATAAAACACAACATAAAGCGTCTTTGGTGTTTCACTGTTTTCTATCAAATCAAACTGGAAATTGAGGCATGGCGGCAAAGGACATAGATTAAGTCACGGTTTATCTCTCTGAATATGAACATTCTATGAAACATTTGGGATAATAGAAGTACATAAGTTTACAAAATATATATAACATTCTTCCAGTAATTTTAAAATGGAAAAAATTTTACAACTTTTGCCTTTAAATATGCACTTTGTCAGGATACAAAACACAGCATAAACCTTATCTGGATTAAAAATAGATTTCATTAGCAAAAAAGGTTCAATATCCAGGTCAGTTTTTCAGCACGTGCAATAGTTTCGGTCTTTGTTCTAATTTGATGCCATTGATATTAACTCAAACTTCGCCCTTAGGATAGTTGACGTGTGTTATCATCGATCAGCTCACTTTATCTGTGAGTCACACCAGATGAAAATCCACCTCATTATATTAGATTGTAGTCTACAGTTTAGACATCTTTGGAATATCCAAAGTTTCACAAATCTGGAAAATGTATCATAACTAATCCACATAACAGCTTCCTAATAACCAAAAAAAATGAGACTATAATTTCCTGGAAGGTCTTCATTTGCCAAGCAGGTGACATCACCGTGGTTTAGTACCAGAAACGGGGTTTAACAGCTCTCTGACATACCACAGTTTGGAAAAGACAATACAAATCAGACCTAGATCTGGCCCATGATAATCAAATCTCCGCCTTCAGTTTCATTAGGCAGGAAACCATCTTGATGTTTTGGGAAATTTAGACTTTGAGGGGAAAGCAAAAGCAATAAAACAATACTACACAATACTATGTATAACACATGGAATCCCAAATGACATATTTTACATTAAATTCACATACAAGTGAAATACAAGAAGCTGTTTCACTCACTAGAAATAGTTTTAACTATATATATTTTTTCTTCTTATTTTAAATACATATTTTTCCTTAAATAGTTTTTTCTCCTATATATAGAAATAAACCCAAAAATTAGACTACACAACTGCCCCATAAAACCTTTTATTCAAATAAACAGTGACATTAGAATTTTTCTATAGTTTACTAGATATGACTAGTAATCAATAGTAAGTGTTTGTTACCCAAAACAAGCTTAGTTAACATACTAATCGCGTTATTTTACGAGTGTGACAGTTTAATTGTAAAGCTGGAACGAATTATTTGATTAGCATGTTCAGCTAATTAGCTAATTAAATCTGTACTCTACCTGTTTTAGAAGGTCTTGATCCTGGAAACGGATTTGTGCAGGCAGAAATGTTTTGATCTGCTGAAGTCACCGTAACGTTATATGCAGAAGAAGCAGATAAAGAACAGCCTTTAAACAATCACTCCTTCCACCAAGCCCAAACAAGAGTCCCTCAAAGCCTGCCTGTGGTCCGTCCGATCTTGTCAACATGTGGTCACTATTAAATTATCAAACGAAATCAAAAGCTGACGGCGTTAATGTATGGGTGACGTTATTAAGCAGACCAGAATTTCTACTCTAATCCGTCCAGTACGGGTGATCTCATCTCACACCAACGCGTGCCCACTGCTGGCGTTTCTTCTGATTTTCTTGCGGAATGCCGGATATCAACGTCAACGCTGAACGCCCTAACGGCCAATCAGATTAAGTGTTAGATATGCTCGACCAATCACACGCGTCCTCCCTGAGCACGAAACCACAATAACATGTTGATTAATGAGTTTATATCATTGTTTAAGTATATCTCTAGATATTGCTGTAGTAGTTTAATTACCGGGATTCAACCAAAAGAGCTCTACATGTGTACCGTTTGTGATGTTTTGTAAAGTTAGTACATTAATCTTCTGCGTGAAGTTGACAGGCTTTAACCAATTGCTATTTACTTCCGCTGTTTTCGCATTGCGTCAATAATAGCCCGTTAACGTGGGACGCCACGCGGTTTCTTTTTTAGGCGTTTTAATATCTTGGAGGCACTTTAGCTTCGAGATGAGCTCTCAAAAAGGAAACGTTTCCAGATCGCGAGGACAGAAACACCAGAATGTCACTGCCTACAAAAATGACAAGTATGGTGCAACCGCACAAGTCAAGGTAAGCTCGTGCTAACAAAAACATAGACATAGTGGAACCAGTCAGTTTGTTTCCTTTAAGAATGAGGCAAAGGTGCTTTTATATTCGCACATTCATTCATATTAACAGTCCCTATATTATTTACCATGCTAACGTTACTTTGAATATTTGCTTTGAAACCGCATGCAATTATGACTTAAAAACAACATTAGCACTATTTAATTGACTGTGGACAATGTTGTACTTTGATAATAGTTGGCTGCTCATATGATTTTACTATTTAAAATGTTTAAATAATACTGTTATTTAAATATATTGTTATTAAGAGTCCAAATGTGCGAATATTTAACCAACTTCACCTCAATCCTTTAAGCTGTTGTGCTGATAAAGGTATGTCAAGCATATGTGACTCTGCACCACAAACCCAGTCACAAAATCATCAGTTTTAGTAAAATGTCATTTATACACAATGCAAAAGTTGAATAAACACATTATCCTTGTATGTTTAGTTTTTATTAGGGTCTGTTAAAACCCATTTTTGTCCAGGGGAATGGGGTGCACATTAAACTGAGGTATTGGTTTTTGGCTGAACTCAAAAGTAAATTGTTTTACAAAGTAAGGATGGAAAACAAGAATTAGTGAACAAAATGATGATGATTCATTTACAAAAAGTGAGGGTGAATCAGTGAGTGAGATATTTGCAATATATACAAAATCGAATACAATAAACAGTAACATATTAGAAAGACTGCCGATGGTTGGTGCTAAAGAAAGGAACCAAACAAAACAGTCTTACTAATATTCACAACAAATCCCCTCTAATCTACTCTAATAAACAAAAGATATAAAAAAGTTTAGTATTTACTCGGGATGCACCTATTTGGGACATTCTACCAGAATCGTACATTATCTATTCCTGAAATAAAAACGTAAATACAGTAAATAAAAAGTATTTCATCCCAAAAATGTCTTAAATGGACTGATGGTTGATTTCTGTGAGTTGTTCTTTAAGAAATGCGTCATTCATTTGTTTCTTAGATTTTTGTTCTTTAAAAGTGACCCTTGGCCTTTACACTGTACAAACTTTGCCATTGTCCTTGTTCTGAACCTAATTGGTCCTACAGCTTTAATAGTTTTCTTATGCTAAAAGCTGTTATTTAGAAAAAACTTCAGAAATAGCAAGTTTAAGTTGTTTTCATTCACATCAATTGATTAAAAAAATGAAATAATAAATCATTCATTTATTAATATTCTTTTTGGCTTAGTCTCTTTATTAATCTGGGGTTGCCACAGCAGAATGAACCACTTATCCAGCATGTGTTCACGTAGCTGTTGCCCTTCCAGCTGAAACCCATCACTGGGAAACACCTATACACACTCTCTGACACACATACACTACAGCCAATTTAGTTTTATCCAATTCACATATACCACATGTCTTACGACTGTGGAGGAAACCGGAGCACCAGGAGGAAACAAGGGAAGAACATGCAAACTACAGAAATGCCAACTGACCCAGCAGGGGCTTGAACCAGCGACCTTCTTGCTGCGAGGTGATCGTGCTACCCACTGCACCACCTTGACACCTTGAAATGATAAATAAATTCTACAAGTAAATACTACAAATATATAATACAAATAAATGTACAATTGTCCCCATGTTTCTGTCGGTCCTGTAACAATTGCATTAAATTTAACATAAAATGAGTGCATTACACGTTTAAGACATCATTTGACTGAGAAGTAGTTGACAGTGATGAAGGATGAGTTCTATTATTAAATTGTATAATTTTTTTGCATATTTTGTATGATTTTCTTTTTAGCTTAAATCAGGACCTGTTAGGTTTTTTATAAGTGAAAACGTGTTTCTGATAGAATGTCCCATTTTAAAATGTGTCTGAGGTTCAATAAAATCTAAATATTGAGAAATTAAAGCTAGTCCAAGTTCATAGCAATGCACGATACTAATCAATTTTTGTTTTGATAAGCTTACTGTAACTTAGAAAATGTCTTTATGGAAGATAATCTTTACTTAAAGGGTCAGTTCACCTAAAATAATATTGTCACCTTATTGTCAGTTTACTTGTTACAAACCTTTCTTATGTTAAACGCAAAAGATGGTTTGAAGAAAGCTGCAAACCTGTAACTTCTGACTTCCATAGTCTTTGTTTCTCCTACTTTGGAAGTCAGTGGTTACAGATTTTCAGCTTTCTTCAAGATATCTCATTTTGTGTTCAACAAAAGAAACTAATAAAGGTTTAAAAGTAAAGTGTGAGTAAATTCTGTTTAATTTGATGATTAAAATGCAGGGGGCTTGGGGGGATTGATCCCACTATTTAAGGTTTGATTCCCCCCCAAAGGATATCAAAACAAGATGTATAGGGGAGGGGGGTCCCTTTGAATCTGAGAAAATGTTCACTCTAATCTGTATTTTAAATAATAATGTTAAAAAATAATAATGTTCATAATTAAAATAATAGCTGTCAATTTGACCACCCCCATAACAGTTCATACCATTGTAAATGCATAATCGCGTTTGTGTTCAGTCTGTGCAAGAAAAAAAGTAATTCAACTGCCTGAAACCGGCAGATTTAGAGCCCTGTAAGATTCCACAAGACTGATTTATCATAAAATAAGGGTTTGTTTCTGCATAAAGCCTTAAAGTATAGTCAAACTAGGTGCGTAGTTTGTATAATTGACCTAAAGTAAGCCAAAAACAGCTAATCAGTTCAGAATACACTAAATGGCCTATCCAACAAAACACTGAAAACTGAAATATATTTTATTAATAAATTATATGTAATTTAAATCAATCTATTTACTGAAGATTCACTGAAGCATGTACAGTATTACACAAACATTACTGAAAAAGTTAACCCCCCTCACCCAATCGTTGATGTATAATTGCACACTGAATAAGGGCATGTAATTACTTGAGGAAGAGAAAATGGTGTGTCAATTTTCATGTTTGGGTGAACTTTCCATTTAACTTCCTAATGATATTTAAGGAGAAAAAATAATTTTTTAGCTATTTGATATTGCCAAAAATAAACAACATAAGACTGGTTTTGTGGTCCAGGATCAGATGTTTTATTTGTGTGATTTCATCTATTTTTTTTTTCCACACGGTGAGTTCAGAAAGCCAATTCCAAGGTTCATGATGGTCTCTGCCAGCACTGCAAAGATGTACTAGAGTGGAAAGTCAAGTACAACAAATACAAACCTCTTACACAGCCACGCAAATGGTGAGATGAAGGTGGATTTACTGCATAGCAACAGACGTTAAGCAAATAAACTCCTCCACAATAAAGGTCACTGCATTAACCTATTCTGAAGTCATGTTTCTTTCTTTTCTAGCGTAAAATGTCTTCAGAAAACAGTGAAGGACGCCTATCATATCATGTGTAAACCGTGTGCATTAAAGTTAGAGCTTTGTGCCAAATGTGGGAACAAAGAAGAAATTGTCATTCCGTAAGTCGATTGAAGCATCTTCATGAAACATTAGATTGATCATGGTGTTTTGCACTATTTTGTGATCTGTGTATACATTTACAGCTTTAAAGGAATAGCACACCCAAGTGGTTCTAAAGCTTTGAGATTTTTTTCTGCTGTTAAACAAAAAAAAAAGATATTTTTAAGAATGCTGGAAACCTGTAAGTAATGACTTCCATAGTAGAATAAACAAATGCTATGAAGATCAAAAGTTACAGATTTTCAGCTTTCTTCAAAATATCTTCTTTTAAACCTTTATGAATTTCTTCTGTTGAACACAAAAGAAGTAAAGATCTGTTGATTAAGAGGATTTTTTTTTATTTTGACGTGAACTCTCTTGTAAATTAGAAAGTTTTTAATTGTTTCCTTCTATGACAATATATTACTTTATTGTAGTTTAAGTACAACTAAGTATAAGTTTGCTGCTTCATTTTTACATTAATCTGTAATGCTGATTGTATCATATGGTTTGACATTTAATACTCACAAATGTATTTGAAACAATGTCTAAATAGTTACAACTTTGAGAAAAATTAAACCTTGCCCCCAGAACTAATTTATGTATTTATCATAAAAAATTAATATGAGATCAATATTATCATTGCAGAACATGTGCCATACCAAAAATTGAGAATTTTTTTTTTTACTGGAACATGTCCTTAATTAGGTTTCAGGTTACTCACTACTCTGTTACTCATACATGTGCATTCTTATCGACAAGTAGTAAAATTAATTGCTTTGACTTCAACATTATTGTATATTGATTAAAACATTTGTATATGCATTTCAAGGCAGGTATTTGAATTGCAATTTGAATTGATTTAATGAATGCACCCTCTAAATTATCTTTAGTGTAACAACAGTGTAATTATCAAACATTTATTTCAGTTTAAACTTATCTTTTAATATTTCTTTTAAGTAAATTAAGTAAAATTAAGTAAATGTTGTTTTATTTTTATGCTGGCTGACGAGCATTTTTTAATCTATGATGTGACAATTAATTTTTTTATTTTCAAAACATTGACACTTCCATTAAATCTGTTTAAATATTACATCCGATGGAAAGAATCACTGATCAGTGCAGCACATGTGCCATCTTGTGGACATACACGAAATGTGGCAATTATCAAACATAGGTATTCATAGGTTTATATATTTATAGGTATTACCTTTTTCTTACATTAACATATACATTGAACTTTTTACAGTAATGGGGGGATGGGGGGCTAATTGTAGTGTTTTGATACCTACATGACAGTTCTTTGTTTTTATAGGCTTGACCAGAAGGATAAAGAAGAAGAGGTAGAGGACACCAGCAAGCCAAATAAAGGAAAGAGGTCCAAAAGAGATGATGAAGATGAGTATGATGATGAGGAGGATTTTGATGGCATGGGTATCAGCGATGATGACTGTGATGGTGATTCAGGAGCTGAAGGAAATTAACATTACCATCAAATATCTAAACTCAAGACCAGAGCTCCGAGGAAATCTTAGACTGGAGTTTGGACTCATTTCTTCCTGCTGAAGGACTCCAGCAGGTGTGTTCCTGTTGTCTTTCTGGACTGTTTGCTTCTTTCCGAACCACCTGCAAGGAAGGATCCTGCAGGAATTGGCACAGAAACATAAGGCAGAAACATTTTAAGTAGATTTTTTAAAGATGACATTCAGGTTATTTGTTGTATTAATGATTGATTCATATTGAGAAGCTGTTAAAATGAAAAATGTCTCTAATTCAAATGAAACGCATTTGGTCTACAGATTGTTTTATGCAAGTAAAAAAAAACTTAAGTAAATAGAAAATACTAATGAAATAGGCATTTTTATTAAAAAGTTAAATAAGTAAACAATGTGCCATACTGCTTAAATAGCTTTAAAACTGATAAGAAAATTATTTTTTTTCTGTGGAAATTTCCTCACCATTTACAATTCCCCAGCATTTACACATTCAGGTGCTATGAGTTTCTTTCCTGTTGAACACAACAAAAATCAGCAGCCATCATCAACATCCATAGCCAACCATACTATTATGGTAGACAGTGGCTGCTGGTCCAACATTTTTCAGAATATCTTGTTTTGTCTTAAGGATATTTGTGAACACTATGTTCATGTTGGAAACTCTAGCATGGTAATATAAGTGGACACTAAATATTAAATATACAACATAGAAACATTTATATTACTAATACAGTACACATACTGTGTAAATGCATGTATTTCCAACTCCAGCTTCCAAAAGGTTTGGCCATTTTGTAAAAATGCAACACAATCAAGAATTGTTTCATTCTTTATATTCATTTAATTTTCAAAAATACAAAGAAATGATTCTAGTGTTTTTGGATTAAGAAAATGAAAACAACAAATATATTCTGATAACTGCAGCACAATCAAAAGTGAAATCGCAAAGATTTTATTTCTTTCACCTGAAAATATTCAGGTAATTCAAAGAAATCTTAAAGTATGTGAAAGGTAAGAAACCACAGCTTAATCTGCACAACTTTTAAGCACTCAGGTTGCACTATGTAAGAAAAAGTCAAGCTGCTGTAGTAAATCAAATCAAGTCGAGCTTTATTGTCATTCTGCTACATATGTGGACGTACAGTGGAATAAAATGTTGTCTCGCAGGACCATGGTGCTACATAAATAAACAATCTTAAATATAAACCCAACATTGGACTTTAACCTTTAACTATAACCTACTTATAACCTATACATAACTAACAAACTGAAATATACCCACATGGTCTCAAATGGACTTTGCAAAAATAATGCTGCCGCAATAAGAAATGCAAGTTGCTCAAAGAAAAAGCAATTGATCAGTTCTATGCTGTGCAGTGATTCCTCTGTTTCTCTGGGCCAGAGCTCATCTCAGTTAGTCGAAAACACAGTGGAAATATGTGCTGGGGTAAGAAGACTCCACACTTGCAATTTTTAAATTTCAACCAATTTCAAGATCTCATTTTTAAAGGACCATCCAGACATTCATGAGCGACACGTAAAAAAGCAAACATCCACCAGGGTGTAAAGCTGCAGCAGACCAAACGGCGTGGATAACTCTAATGTGTGGGATTTTATCATTGACATGGAGCCATATATTGGGATAGTACATTTATTGCCATCAAGATGTATTTCAGGGGAAGTTTATGTTTATTACAAGAAGTTCAATTCTAAATGTAACTGCATGTTTTTGTAATTGGAGGGAATGTACCTGTAGTCCAACTCTGTCTTCTCTTGAAAATGAAAACCAGACAATGACAACTGTTTAGTAGCTGACATCATATTTCAATTCAGATTTTGGATAAAAAATTGCTTTACCAGTTCATTCATTCATTTTCTTTACAACTTACTCCCTTAATTCATCTGGGGTCGCCACAGTGGAATGAACCGCTAACGTATCCAGCATATGTTTTACGCAGCAGATGCCCCTCCAGCTGCAACCAATCACTGGAAGACACCCATACACACTCATTCACACACATGCACTACGGTCAATTAAGCTTACCCAATTCACCTGTACCACATGTCTTTGGACTTGTGGAGGAAACCGGAGCACCCGGAGGAAAACCACGCAAACACAGGGAAAACATGCAAACTCCACACAGAAATGCCAACTGCAGCCAAGGCTCAAACCAGCGATCTTCTTACTGTGAGGAGATTGTGCTACCCACTGTGACGTCCCTGCTTTACCGGTTATTATACTCAATTCCCAAAATATTAATGATGTTAAACACTTCTCATTCTTTTTTTTTTTTTGGAGTGTGCTGCAGCCATCAACAATAAACTTGATTTAAGTTTAAAGAAGTCAATTTATTTTGTCAATAAAAACACTGGAAACCTTTTCTTTGTGCTTTTGTAAATTAAAGTCGAAGAGATCATGAATTTACAGATTCTTGCATTTTGCAAAATGTTCCCGACTTTTATGTAATTACAGTTGTATTGATTTACTGTAAATGCACTTTTGATCTTGCCCCTATCCCATAACCACTCTAACCACAAACCTATTTCGAACTTTAACCATATTCCTGTACAACTCCAGTACAATAAGCATATTGTAGCTAAGTTCATCTTTTTTGATGAAAGTACATACAGTAGTAGATAAAGACATGCACAGTAATATAAATTGTGACAAAAACATGTCTGCAGAATAATATTTCTGAATGAAGGAATGGCCGTTCAAGGCTTGAATCACCAATGTGACCATGTGATCGGCAAGATCATGCTATCACAGTCAACTATTTTAAGATTTTCAGGGGAATCTCTCGTGATGTTTAAGGAACTTAACAAGAACAGCCTGTTTGAGTCTTTGTGCAGCATCTGAGCCACCTGTGACACACAAATCTGGAGAAGTTAATAATGCAAGTGTTGGTAAAACAAACAAATATAGACTTTTTGGTGAAATGTTTGAGGAACTGCAACAACCTTTATCCCTGGGTTCATGTAATGGAGTTTAACCACAGCTATGAAGCAAGAGGGGAGACCAGCATCACATGTCTGATGGCTGTATCATAGATCTCAAAATAATTGTGTTTTATAGTGACTTCATTTCTATTGTTTGGCTAACACAATCCAAAAGAAAAGTCAAATGCTTTAAATTGATGTATTGAAAGTTGTTTCAATATATCAGCACTATATGTGTACAGGTTTGTGTTTATTTTTATTTAATGATGGGCCATACACATGATTTTATTCTGTATCAATGCCTTGTGGTCTCTAATATATGTAGTGTAAGAGTGTGATGACTGTTCTCTGACTTGTCAGGTGAGACTGTGATGTCCTAATACTGTGTGATTCCTGTCATGTGTTCCAAAATGTTGCACAACTAGAATATGGGCATTTCTTGTAAGCCAGATTTCTATGTATTTTGTCATTTTTGAGTGAAGTGAGGGCAGAACAGTTATCTTTGGTTAATATAAGAAAAATGTGACACTGTAATACAAAGTATTTTGTTGAACAATTATATTTTTGGGAAAAAGCCAAAAATGTATTGCATAAGTCAAAATTATAGATTTTTGCTTTTATGCCATGAAAATCATTGGAATATTACGTAATGATCAGCTTCCATAAAAACACCTTTTCTTTAAAAACAAATTCCTTCCTTATAAGAATATAATAACTGAATTTTTGATAACCAATATGCATTACTAAAGATGTAACCTAATTTGTAGATTGTTTTAAATGGATAGTTCTCCCAAAAAATTATAATTCCGCCATAATTTACTTACTTTTTAGTTATTCAAAGAGTTTTTATTCTACTTTTTTGTTTCTGTTAAACAGAACATTGTTGGAAGCCTGTAAGAATTAAAACAAACTATGAAAGTCATCAGTCTTCATTATATTCAGTTCATCTTTATTTCTATAGCACTTTTACAATGTAGATTGCGTCAAATCAGCTTAACAGAAGTTCTAGTAATTGAAACTGTTAGACCAGTTTTCAGAGTTGAAGTTTAGTCCACTGTGATTTTTCACAGCTGAAAGTCCAAAACACTGAAGAGCGAATCCATCCATGCGCAGCACCTCAAGTCACAAACCAAGCAAGCCAGTGTGGAGGAACAAAATTGACGAAAGTGAAGGAAAAAAACTCGAGAGAAGCCTGGCTTAGTTTCTTCTCTGGCCAAACTTTTTGTGCAGAACTGCAGTTTAGGCAGTCATATCTTCTTTTGTGTTTAATAGAAGAAATATCTCAAACTTTGTAATAGAGTAAATCAAGGATGAGTAGGCTAAATGATGGCAGATTTTTTTTTTAAAAAACCCTCAGATTCCAAAAATGTCAACTGTTGTATCTTGTCAGATAGTATCCTATCACTACAAACCATACATCCACAGCTTATTTGTTCAGCTTTCAGATAATGTATACATTCAAAAATATATCTTTTTGACTGGACTTGTGGTCTAGGATTCACAAATATTAATGCTGAGTGACAGGACACAATTACCTCAAGTTTTTTATTTATTTAAAGTGCACTTTATAGTTTTGAATGCATTAATGGTGAAAAAAGTGCTTACTGATGACAAAAAATTAAAAAACATTATCTCCTGCCAGTGATTATTCAAGAAAACGGGAACATCTAAACTTCTAAAATAAAACTTGTCACATTGTCTAATGCTTTGTGCATTGTGAAACCTTTTGAAGAGGTAACTGTGGAAACTATTGTTCATTGGATGTGTTGTCTTTTCAAAGTAATGTGCTTTCAAAATCTTCACAAACAGTAGACCACCTAAGGTTCAGTTAATCTCTTGCAATTCATTTCTAATCAAACTGCAAAGTAAACAGAACTTAATTTATTTCAAAATAATTAAATACAATTATAATTATTAAACATCGCACTGTTTAAATAAATTTCGACAGTTTATAATGTCTTATGTATAATGTAGAATTTTAAATGCCTTAATTGTTTGTTTTATAATTATGACAGTAACACTTATGACACCTGTACATGCGTCATCATGTCGGTGAAAAGCACAAATAATATTGTAATAGCCTGAACATTTTTATATGTTAACGTTTTAGTATTATTACTATTGTTATCATTAGGCTGTTACCTCGTATCGTGATTGTATCAATTAATGAATCAAAACCCACCAGTCAGTGGTGCAGGATCACCAATTACAGAACGTCCCTTTGGACTATAAGAGTTTGATTGGATGTATTCGGTGACGCGTTAGAGCTGTTGTAATGATTACCGGTTTATGACAATGTAGTCCTCCTAGTCATTTTGCAATGCCTTGTGTCCTATATAAAAGTTCAGGCAAGCCGCATATGAAAAATTGAGGCAATAATGAAACGGAACGAAACAACCACACGCATTGCGCATGTCTTCAGAGGGACATTTGTTCACTCCACACCGCAAACTGCAGTGGAAATACTGCACAACTCTGTCTTAGGAGTCGACGATGAGGGGAAGGTATGTTTATTACGTAATTTACATTATTTTTATGCAATTTCATCTTCGTTATCGATGTTCATTTTGTCACAACGAGGCTTTACAACTGTATTATATCCTAAATTACTCACAATACTGCTTATTACAGCTATCAGTATTTGTTAGTATTATTGTTAGGCTATATATTATTTAATTGGTCGTTCCATATGCTATATCTCATTTGTTTATAACGGTCATTTTCTTTCTAACAGATAGCATTTATTGATAAAGATCAAAATGTGACCAGACTTTCAAAATTATGGGGTTTTGAAACGTCAGACATCAAACAGCTTGGACAATAGTGAGTAACGTACAATTATGGTTGTCCAAAACAAGCACACACACACTTTATGAAGCAGATTTGCAATCACCAAGCCAAAATGTGTGAATTAAAAATAAGTACAGGATTGAAATCTTTATGTATTTATTTTCTGCAGTGAGTTCCTTATGCCAGGAATGGTTGATACACACATCCATGCGTCTCAGTACAGCTATAGTGGCACTGCATTAGACTTGCCTCTGCTCGAATGGCTCAACACTTACACTTTCCCAGTGGAAGCCAGGTATAAAGACTTGGATTTTGCCAATAACATCTACACTAAAGTTGTGGTAAGTTCATTTAAATAAAAATAAATGTATAAGTGGAAAAATATAACTCTACTTAATTAATGTAACATTATTTACCAAGTAAGACAAACCATTGGCTGATGCTTTTTTCAATAATGATTATTTTCTTATCAATGTAGTTACAATCTTTAATTTCACACTTTTAAACATCACACTCAGGGAAAATGGTTTGTTAAAAAACTTTTATTTCAAATTCTGGTTCTTCTTCATTTATTCCTTTAGCAGACACTTTTATTCAAAGCAACTTTTATAGAAAAGAGGATAACAGAAGCCCTTCAAATCATCACAGAACAGTAATATATAGATCCCATGACACATACATAAACACACAGAGAGGAATGAGTGTCTCGTACAGGTGGTTTGTCAAGTCCACTCACCTGTGTGAAGAACTGCACAATGTTTTGCCAAATTTATGTTTAAAAGAAAGTGTCTAAGTGCATAGGTAGAGGAAAATAGTGTGTCTGTCTCTGTGTGTCATCTATAGCAATACTGTAGGTAAAAAAAAAAGTTAATTTTAATTTTTTTTGTCAACTGTTTTGCACTTTAGAGAAGAACTTTAAAGAACGGCACTACCACTGCTTGTTATTTTGCCACCATACACACTGATGCCTCACTTCTGCTCGGAGAGCTTGCAGGTAAAACACTTAGTAAAACACTAAAGCACTCACACATGGGTATTTTGACAAATTATCCCCTGCAACTGGCTGAAGCGTTGAGGTGGCGAACGCAAACACATCCTTTCTCTAACCTTTGGAGTTTGTCTTTCTTTATCCTATCTTGACTGTTGTTCCTGTCACTCTGTTGAGTAACAGCATTTGTATTTGCCATTTCAAATTATGTAATACTATACAGTAAGTGCACGTGGCGTCATTCTGTGAATAAGTCTGCCCAAACTATAATGTTATTAAATTATAGCTTTTTATCCATCATGTTAATGCGTGTGTCTCTTAAATGTAGTCATTAATTGAGAGTAAACTTGGTATTTTTGCTTCTTTTTCACTAGATAAGTTTGGACAGAGAGCTTTAGTGGGGAAAGTTTGCATGGACTGCAATTCTGAAGTTCCACAGTACAAAGAAAGTTCAAGCGACTGTAAAAGAGAAACTGATCGGTGAGTTTGAGGACTAAAGTACCAGTCTCCTTCTGAACAATTCACACTCTAAAAATAGACTTTGAAGATACATTCTTACACAAGACTTCATATGCAGAGATGACATTAAACCCTGGAATGATAATTCTCCATGACTTGACTATGCTTGAATGTTTTGATATTAAACGTAAATAAGACATACCTAACTGAAAAATCTGAGATTTCTTTTTATTTTAACAAAAATGTATTCCTCATAAGTTGCTACACAGACCTTCCTTTAGGAAAATATTGGAGGATCTCAGCAAACTATTCTTCTGGGGTTTTACATCATTCATGTGCCTGTTTGTAACCATTTTATTTCTACACGTTGTAATATAAAGTAGAAAGAGTTTTTTTTTAAATATCATTCATAAAATCTTTACAGAAGGAATAAAAGTCATTTTTATGATGTCTATATAAAATTGTTATGATGTCTTTAATAATGTTATATAGACATGATAAAAGTGACATAATAATCATAATAATAACATTGTCTGTATAACATTATGATGCACATTCATAGTATGGTTCTTTACAAAACATAGTAAAAATGGTTCTGTTTTTCACCAAAACCTTCTGCTGTTGTTAAAAACAAAATAACCTTAACCTACTACTCTTTTTTTAAGTTTTATTTTTTATTTATTTTAAACATTTGTAACACAAAAAATAGAGGGAAAGTAAGTAAATAAAGAATGGAACAAACAGGTCACCATAACTTAGTACTCATTACACACACACTATTTTCTTAAAGAGATAGTTCAGTGAAAAAGCAGTCACCGACATCCATAGTTGGAACAAAAAATAAAAAACTGTACAAGGTCATCTTTTTCCAACATTTTTCAGAATACCTTAAAGAAACAAGTTCACACAGTTTTCAAGTTTGGGTGAATTATCATTTTAAGTTTAAACAGAAGAACTTATTTGCTTTGAAAGTTTGTTTTTACCTGATACTAAATCTGATGCCCAATTATATGATCGATGACCTTGAAGATCTGATTCTGCTTCCTCTTGTCTTTTGTAGTTTTATAAAGGAGCTTCTCAAGAAGGAGGTAAATGGGGTTCATTCTTTTTAATTGAATTGTAGTATTTTTATGCTGATCAAAGTAGCTTTTAAGCAGTTTTGACTGAATTGTCTCATTGTTTCAGTACCCAAATGTAAAGCCTGTAGTCACTCCTCGTTTCGCTCCCTCTTGTTCTGCCGCACTGCTCAGTGACCTGGGTGAGATCGCCAACAACACAAAGCTTCACATTCAGGTTTGTTCTCCTTCATTTACATTACCTTGATAAACAACTAGCAATTAAACAATCAACACAGTAAAAACTATTGTTCACATGACAGAAGTTCAGATATGTGATAACTAAGAGTTTTTAATTGACACATGGCCATAATGCATGTTATGGTGTTAACGTTCAGTTCTTTATGCTTCCAGTTCTTGTGAAAGGCAATGATGAAGTAAACTATGGGTGTGTTCAGCTTTCTGGCCATTGACCTTAAGATAGGAAGTTTACACTCTTTTATGCACATATTCAAATACTGAATCTTACTAGGACAAAGTGGAGGAAAATATTCAAATTTTCATTGACTTTTATTATGAGAAAAATATTATAAAGACCAAATACCCTATAAAGTTTGTTAAAAATATACTCTGCATACTGTAAACCCTGTTAAGACTACTCAAATGATTTGAGGAAAGTGAATCCCTCTGTTCGTTTGAGTAATGGGAAATTGACTACTCAGGTAATTGAGTTGACCAACTGTGGTCTCTTTATTGAATTAATTTAAATGTTTAATTACAAATAACTTAAAAAGGCTAACAGACTATTTTTCAGCTTTTATATTCTTTACTTACTTATTCCCAGGGCAGTTTATATCAAAGTTGATATTTAGCCGCACCATGTTGGTGTTTCGTAACATCTAATTTTTACGAGGTGGGTCGTTAAGCCCAACGTTCAATCCCCAACGAGTCTCCAAAGGGACATACACTATGGACATTTTAGCTTACTCAATTCACCTATAGCGCATGTCTTTGGACTTGTGGTTGTCAAGGCAGAATTTCAAACGCAACCAATCATTTAAAACAGAGAGGTGGTGAATCATTTAAAGAAATTTACATGTTAAGTTTAGAGAACTTAAAATATTTATTAAAAGTTTTTTTGCTGCCTAATGAGTACGTTAAATACACCTGTAAGTTTTGATGCCAAAACTTGGTATTTTAAGTAATGTTAAGTTATATTAACATTCCCAGTGATGAATTGCAGCTTCAAGGGCATCTGCTGCGTAAAACATGTGCTGGATAAGTTGGCAGTTCATTCCACTGTGGCAACCCCAGATTAATAAAGGGACAAAGCCAAAAAGAAAATGAATGAATGAAGTTATATTAACTTAATACCTTTGGCAATGACAACAGTGGGGTTTACATTTTACAGGCAACCAAATGAGCCCATAATATAAATGTATGCAGAACGTTACTGATGTTACACGTTAAGCATTTTTCTCTTCTTTTGAAAAAAGTCCTAAATATATTTAATAAAATGTTTTCTGGATTTTGTCTATGTAATAGGCTATCACTTTTCACTGTAGTATCAGAATGTTTTTATTGTTGTTTGTGAGTTATAAACTCGTGTTAATGAGTGCTGATAAATATAAGCTGAAAATCCACATTCAGTATGAGTGAATACTCAACTGTTAAGCTGTTATCATTTTTATGATGGCCACTAATAGACCATTTGAGGGGTGTAAACAAAAACAATTGTTCCAGCTTATTTCCTGTTTTACATTTTTTATTTCTGATAATTCCGAGAATCCAAGACGATTGACATATTGATGAATAATGTTATGAGAGCTGTTTTAACATTAAGTCATGATTGAATTGCCCCTTGTTACTGTTATGAAATAGTTTGATAACAAGCTTGAAATGTTTATGGGTCAATGACATTACCACATTAAAATAGTCTGTAGACTTTTACTTTTATTTTTACTTTTACTTTATTTTTTTGCTCAAGAATACAAAAATATTAGAATAAAACAGAAAAAAATAAGCCATAATGTGCAGGAAGAGTCACAAGCCCATAAGGCTTATTTAGAGCCTCTAGCTAAATAATAATAATCAAAGGGCAATGACAAAACAATTGCATCACAACAAATGCTAAATTACAGTTTCAAGTGAATAATAATACACACAAATAAAATTACAGTCACATACACATAAAATTCTTACAAAATTACAGAACAACATTAAAGTAACTCCTTATGCATCTCTTAAAACCAGTTAAAGAGGAACAATTTGTTTGTTGTATGGGATAAATCATTTAATCATACCCCTAAATCAAATCGAGTGTTGTGCTCTACTTGTTTGAACAGAGCCACATCAGTGAGAACAAAGAAGAACTGAAGCTTGTGAAGAGATTGTTTCCAGACTGCAGATCCTATACTGATGTTTACCTCAAGTACAACCTGCTTACAGATAGGGTAAGACTGTGTCTCGTTTAAATTGAATACCTTTACACTACAAATCTAATACATTCAATTATTTTCATTTTAAAGATTTATTATGTTGCGAGCTGTATTGTTGCAACATATAAATAGCTTATAATATAATGTAATATAATATGATAAAATAATATAATATGATATAATATAATATTACATAATATGATCTATGATAAAATTATAATATAATATAATATATGATATAATATGATCAAATTAAATAATATAATAAAATATAATATAATATTATAATAATACAATATAATATAATATATAAAGTTTAAGTGAATTTTGTAAAAATAAAAAAATAAAGTTTCTACTTTACAGTTGTAAATGATTATTCACATTACTCACATAGTTTTTTCACATTTTATATTTATTTTATTTATATATCTTTATTTTAAGGTGTAAAAAAAACTTCATTAAGGGTTTAAACCAAATTGCACATGGAAAATAAATAAATAAATCAAATAGATCCAGCTGTTTGACTTTAAAGAGTTTCATAGGTTTCATTTAGGACATTTATGTGAATAAACAGATTTCATGCTGAGCACATTTAGTAGACCAATAGTTTTTTAGCAGTATTTAGTTTTTTTATTGGTTGCCCTGTGGTTGTAAAGGCCTGGCATGAGAGCTTCAGAGTCATGTGCTTTGTAATATGAGTTTGTGATCAAGAGTTCAGGACAGTAGAGTGCATTGCCATTTGTCTGACTTTTCACATTCTCTGCTGATGAATTCTGAGTACAAGATAATTTTCCTCAATGATCTAGAACCAAGTGCAAGTCTTATTTTTTGACTTAGACTAATTAAAGTTAATATTTCAAAATGAGATTATTTATTTGTATTTATCTAATTATTGATTCATACTTATCATATTAGTCATGGGGAACAAAACATCTGAGCATTTTAGTTAAGAGAAGATCAGAACAGCCAACTTTTGGGAAAAGACCCTCTTGTACAATTACCAAGCACTTTGGGCTTATGGTTAATAAATGTTATAGAAATGCACATTACATATTAAAAGAGACCTATTAGGTGAAATATCACTTCTATAAGGAGTTTAAATAAAGTCGTGTGGTGACAGTGTGTGAATATAGCCATACTCTAATAATAAAATATATCAATTTCATTTCTTATAATCACACTTAATAAAAAACTGTCTGCAGAAGCACTGTGATTGACATTTCTTCCTTTGCATGTGTCATCAGAGGAGGAAAGTCTCACCCATTAATGACAATCTATCTTTTATTAGCATAGATAGCCCTAAGTGTGAAGTAGCTGTCCGCCATTAGATTTTCACAGTACCTGCTGAAGATAATGTCAGCGACTAAGAGGCATTATAAATGTGGGGTTTTAGGGTGAACAAATGAACACTGTCATCTCTATAGACTGCTTTTTTCTTTCATATACATTTCTGGAGAGAGTGAAAAACGTCCCAGGAGCTATGTTTTTTTGCAGTTTTTGTTTTTCGCGAATCCACCAGAGGCCTCTGTGTATGCTTTTTCAGATCTCACATTTGCCATTCGTGCCTGCTGTTCTCAAGTGAATCCACCAGAGGCCGTTGTTGACTGACTGATTTACTGACTGACCACCCGATGGATCCTCCCACCGTCTACCTTTCCTAAATCCAACCAATAGTGTTTTAAAAAGCACAGATTGACCCGCCCACTCCCTTCCCTAAACCCAATCGGAGTGTTTTAAAAGCAATCCAGAAAAAGAAAAGCGCCCTTATTGTTACCACATTTTCAGAATTTACCAAATTTTCAACCCGTTTACTTATTTTATTTTTGGCAATTGTTTTTGTCTCACCTGCTTTCCGGAACTGTTCTTCACCGGACTCAAATCCCTTTGTCTTGCTCAACTTCGCTCTTCATCTCAAGTCCGCCGACGTACATGTCGGGCTACTGGACAAACTGGTAACAGCGAAAAAACATCCATACGGATGTAAGCGGTTAGGTAAGCAAGAAAAAGAACAACATCATACCACCTTGTAGCATTCATAGCTCTGGCTACATAATTCACGATCTCCAGAAATGTATATAGGGCTACGTTTTCAGAATGAGCCTATGTTGTAAAGTTCAAAAGTGTTGAAATAATCCCAGTAATACTCAAGTTTTTTTTTTTTTTAATGAGTACCCTATAAAGGGTTAAGGGAGTTTTCAGTAGTAGTGGCCGGAGGAGAAATGGCTGAAACATATGGCACACAAAATTGAAAACACTTGAGGAGTTTTGAGGTCATCATCTGATGAATGGATGCATTTTACAGGGTTTCTGTGGGATGTTTGTCATATTCTTTAATGGTCCACTTGATTACAAAGCTTTCTTGATGGCAAACTGGCCATGGATGAAAAAAAGCTGTCAACATTTTGAGCTTACCATACTTAACTAAATACTGTGTTTTCAAAAAGTGTCTGTAGTTCACAGCATACATATCTGAATAGCAGATTAATGCTATTGACCATAATTATGTGGAAGGTATATATTTGTAATAGGTATTAACATGCATTCTTATTGAACAGATGCTTAATTATAAAAATATATATATTTTTGCAGTTTTTTTACCTTTATTGTGATAGTGTAGTACAGAGGTTCTCAAATTGGGGGTCGGGACCCCCCGAGGGGTCGCGGGACACTGAAGGGGGGTCGCACGGTGATTTTCAAAAATCAATAAATTTTTATTAAACCTTAAGACTTACTGTATTTTATCAATAACCTACTAAAGAGAAAAAAATTGTTGTTTATAGTTACTAAAACCAATTTGGTAACTATAGTAGCTTATAGTTACTAGTTCTATTGGATTGCGAGTTTTGCGACTTCTCGGGTAATTACATTATACTAAAGACACAGCAATACCGTCAGATGCAGCAGACTGATTTTATAATACCAGGTTAAACTTTCTAGCCCATTTACAGCACTGACATACATAAAAAAAAAAAACAAAGAATAGACTTGGGTCTATTGGTGTGTGTGTGCGTCATTGCATACAAGGTGTCTGTATTTATAACCACCACCTCAGAGAATATTGGGGGTCACGAGTCACTGGCATTGTCATTTTGGGGGTCGCAGGCTGAAAAGTTTGGGAACCCCTGGTGTAGTACATAAGGGCTTGTAAGCCAGGATTTGAACTTGTGACATCTGTAGTACAGTTACACTAACTTGGAAGTCTCTTTTTTGTGTTTTGAAATATGTTGTTCACACAAAGATTTTTTTTAAAAGCCCCTTATTTTAGAAATAGCCCCTTCAAGCAGGATTGAAATAAAATGATGTAAACTGATGATGATGATGATGTTAACGGTGATGTTGTAAATGTTGCAGACTGTAATGGCTCATGGGTGTTACTTAACTGATGAAGAACTGAAGATCTTCCATGAAACAGGATCTGCGATCTCTCACTGTCCTAACAGTAACATTTCGTGAGTATTTCTTTACTAATAGCTTTCACTAGTTTATTAGTTTTTAACTATTAGTACTTATAATCAATATATTATAATAAATGTGATACATTTATCATCTGTTTCTTCTCCCAGGATTTGCAGTGGGATGCTGGATGTGCGCAATGTTTTGAACCACAAAGTGAAACTAGGTTTAGGAACAGGTATGTTTTTGTTTGTTTGCTTGTTTTTTGCGTTTGCATTACTGAATCCTACATGAGTTATTGCTATGTAACTTTCCATATTGCAGTAAGTTATTAATTCTTAGCTAAAGATAATAGGTGATAAATGTAAACTCAAATCACTTACCAATTTAATATAGAACATATATAATTATTTAATGTGTTGCCATGTAGATGATTAGATATGCATAATGCATCTGTCATTATCTTCTTGATGAAGCGGTGTACTGATTTTCTATGTTATGGTTTTCATATCTAGATGTAGCAGGAGGATACTCTCCATCCATACTAGATGCTATGAGAAGAACTCTGGACACATCTAAAGCCTTGACCATCCAGGACCCTCAGCATCAGACTCTGACCTTTGAGGAGGTCTTCAGACTGGCCACACTTGGAGGCAGTGAAGGTAATAATTTAACCCTTAACCTAGTGTTTACATGCACACTCCTTTAAACTTAACTCTAAAAATATGCAAATAAACTTTATTAGAGTTTATTAATCATTTAGTTTATTTGTGAGTAAAGTGGCTTCAATTACACACTCTTTAATTGCTGCATGTCAGCGGGAAACATGGCTCATATATTATCCTCTCAAGATGCAGTGTTTTAGCACTTCTACTGCATGAGAATTAAATGCATTTAAATATGCAGCAAGATTTGATGAGAAACTGGTTAAATTAAGAAACAATGTAAGTATAAAAAAAATCAATCTATTAGGGCAGAAGTGACAAACTGAAAGCATTGGATGTTTATATCTTCCAATGGCGAACTGTGTTATTGAGTACATTTACATGGACACCAATAATTCACATTTAATAGGATTAAGACAATACTCTGATTAAGAGTTGACCATGTAAACAACAATTTGATTAATTGAATGCGGTTAAAGTCATAATCGAACTAAACAGAAATCGAATTAAGACATGTGGAGTATGCCGATTTTAGTTACATGATTGAAGTGCAATACAGACATGTAAACACTGCAATTACCATCATGGAGAAACTTCGCCTCATTTTGTGATAGGATATTCCATACACACAGCTGTTTGACACTATTCTCTGCACCTACTGTGTCAGTGAAGGACCATATATACCTGCATTGCGAAATGTGGTGGTTTTTTCCCCATGTGGCATCAAATTTCATTAAAACAGCAGTCTTCCAGCAGGTCATACTCATACCCAATATCCCATTTGTCACAGGGGCATGCATGAAATGTTCCTGAATGAAAGTGAAAGTGCCAAACCGCAGTTAAAGTCGACAAATTAAAAATGAAACACAAAATTATATAATCCAGAGGAAATTTGGATCGTGTGGTGATACAGTGACGTTAATAAAATTTTGAGCTGTAACATGTAAAATGGGATCATGAAAGGAACATTCAAAAAGCAACTCATGTAAACACCTTAATCATATTACGGTATTATTCAGATTAAGGCAAATAGTTCCATTACCGATGTCGATGTAAACGTAGTCACTGTTTTGGAGCACTCTAGCTTTTAGATATCATCAAGACGATCATATTGTTACTAACATTTAAGATTTAATGCATTTACATGCTGTGCAAAACTGGTGAAAGGTGCAAAAATCTAGCTGTGAGGATTGGTTGGTGCTTAAATGTGGTCACCCAAAAATTTTAATTCTGTTATTAATTACTACTTACCATAATGTCAATCCAATCATGTTCATCTTCTGAATACAGGTATAGATGATATCCGAGAGCTTCCTCATCATCCATAGACCACAATGGTCACAAGTCAAATAAAAGAGCCAAAAAGTTTGTCAAAACATTCTATGTGACTTCAGTGGTTCAACTAATCATATGAAGCTCCATGAACAATTTTGTACACCAAAAATACCATGGAAACAAGTCACTCGCCAGTGTCTTCTGTATCAGATAAGGATGTGCGTTTACTACTACAATACAACACCTGCATATTGCACTGCCGACGGAAATAAATACATCATTTTGTCTTAGTAAACATGCACACTGACCTGACGTGGGACAGAAGATATAGAGGAACAGAATCATGTTTCGTTTATTTCCCCTCACAAAAGGAGCTTTTAGAGCTGTATATGATTACAATTGAACCACTTTGTTTTGACAATGTTTTCAGGGTTTATCTTGACTTTGAATGTCTTGTAACCATTACGGTCTATGGAGGACGAGAGAGCTCTCGGATTTCTTCTAAAATATCTAGTGTTCCAGTTTGAAGCTTATAACTTTTTTAACAGTTTGAAACTATACAAGCTACACAATTGAATTTTTTGGGTGAACTAACCCTTACTCTGATAAAGGAAAGTTTGTAACACTTAACCATATGCATTGATGGCTAAAGAAGTATAATAAAGTATGCACATGCCCGTAAACCAACTCATCGACAAACATGTTATGTAATATTAGCGCAGTGCACTATATAAACCTGCCTAGCTGTTGTCCACTCTGCCTGCAGCTCTCTCATTGGATGATCAGATTGGAAACTTTGAGGTGGGAAAGGACTTTGATGCCCTGCGAGTGAATGTTTGCATTCCTGATGGACCGATCGATGCGTTTCCTGGAGAAGGCCCAAAGGTTTGATGAGCTCCTACTGATCATCCTAATTCCATCCCATACTGAGAGAAAAACAGCAAGTGCTTGAATGCTTTTAGGCTCTGTTTACATCTGGCATTGATTGATTTGTTCACAAGTAGAGATGCGAGACACATTTCTGTTTACATCTGATGTTTGGATCCATTAATTTGAACACTTTCCTGATTCCTTTGAAGAGAGAGTGTATGTTTGAGCATTTTCTGATATTTCAGTCTGACAAGGCAGAAAAGTATTTCTGTTTCTGCTCTGATAGCCACAAACAGAAACTACAATGAATGCTATGGTTCAAAATTAATACTATTAAGTGTTTAGACTTTAAAGTTTTGTCCAAATATATGATTTAAAGTGATAGACACTTCAAATGAAAATTTTTTGATACTATGCATGACCAAATTGTTTTGATATTCTTCACATACTGTATGTGCAGTAAACTTTTTAGCTCAAGAATTTAGGTCTCATTCACTTCAATTGATTTTTAGACATTAAAACAGCTTGATCTGCTGCTTGATGTTGCAAACTGATATATATTTTTATTATATTTTATACTTTGTATGTATACTCATGAACACACTTGTTTGTAGGGCAGGAAGTTTGACCGTTTACCGCCGTGTATCATTTCTATAAATTTCTCCCATATGCAACCAAATCAGACGTTCTAAAACAATCGAGCACACATCCACATTGCAGAATACTAGATGCAGAGTTGGTCACATTAGGTTGGCTTATTCGTATCTTTTGAGGAATGATGCACTGCCAAAATGTAACCAATATTAAGCCTTTCTCACCATACAACTATTAAAAATAAAACAAAAATATGTATTAGCATGTCAAACTTTAAAGACTACTAGACAAGGTTTTTATACTAAGAGGACTTTAATAGATTTTTTGTTTGTTTATGATTCATACTTTTTGTTTTCTTCAGTGATTCAACAGTATCCTCAGTTTACAAATCTAATAAAGTCATTTTAACATCTCATTTCCCTTTTCCCACTTGGACAGTGTTTCAGATACTTTTTTTTCCTCGTTGGCATATTTTTAATTTCTCCCAATTATTCCTCAAGGACAAGCAGGTGCATCCACCTACAAAAGAACTAAAATGCACGCTCAAAGAAAAGAGCCAAGAAAAACAGGGGAGGGTTAATCAAATATAAATACGAATCGAGCCAAAAAACAAAGTTAACATTATTTTTATTTTTTTACAGATACACTAAATCCAACATTTTCTTGTGCTTAATCTCCAAAATTGTATTTCTGAACCATCAACGCCCACCACATTAAATGTTGGGTGTGATTATATATCTGCATGTACAAGTATTACAGTTATATATAACAGATATGCAAGTTGTGATCATAAATCCAATAAACAAATAAATTAAGCAAAAAAAAAACAGAGATTTTATTGAAATAATTATTTTTAAATGTGCATCACTGCAAAGGCATCAGTTTCTCCAAAAGCGCCAAATATTTTCCCTGTGCACCTTCTCTGATAAACACCCAAATAGTTTGTACATGCAATTGTTTTTTTCATATGCTGCCACCTTCCCCAATTTCATACCCCATTCTTCTTTTATTTTCTTTTGCAATGACAGAACCGTGGTATAGGTGTCTAATGTCATCATATACTATAATATAGCCATCTATTTTACAATCATCCATTGGCTAGTAATTAAAGTCTTGTGTGAAGGGTAAAATTAACTAAAAAATACAAATAAATCAAAACATGTCTTTCATTATACATTTTCCAAAAACTATCATAGAGGATTCCATATATGCCAGAAATCATCAGATGTCTGATGCAAGTCGTAAGTCAGTTTTTCTAAGGTTAAGAAAATGGCAATCTGATTCATCTACATATTGACTGAAGGAATGTTAGGAGACAGGGTTCATACGGTCATGGAAAACATTTTAGGTGATAATAAATACGTTCTGCCTACACTCATAGAAATAAAGGTACCTAAATAAAGTACCTAAAAAGCACAAAAGTGTTCCTCTTAATATTTGTAGGTATTAATATATACCTTTTAGGTACCCTTCAAGTACAAATGTTTACCTTTTGAAAAGGTATCCCACAGTGACGGCTTGTGCACCTTTGTTTCTGAGAGTGTTGCATAATTCATCATCTCGTCCCACAGTGTGTAGTATAGATCAATAGGTTGAGAAAACTGACAAAATCATATCTTAATATCAGGTGTAAATGGGGCCATTGTTATTAAACAGTCCATATTAATGAATATCATTTACATGATATATTATTTAATATATTTTACATAATTTACAATTATTATTGTGTAGTACTGAAAAGAATGTCCAATCTCATGTGCTGATTTTGTTTCCATGTCTACAGGTCATTTTGGAGAAGTTTTTAAATTTAGGTAAATGGCTTAATTTTTTTGTGTTATATATTATATTTTTTATTTAGTTATGTTAGATCTCTTGTTTTATCTGAATTCTTGTGCGTGTTTGTTTTAAACAGGTGATGATCGAAACATTACTGAAGTCTATGTGGCTGGAAGGCAGGTGGTTCCATTTCCAGATACTTAGTTGCTGTTTTTATGACGACAAGCTTTAGACCTAAAAAAAAAATCACAGTTCAGATTTATTTAAATACATTGTCGATTTACAGCATAAGTGGTTCACATCTTGCTTCAGTATACATTTCATATTGACTTGTCTGGTGCTCTAATACTTTTTATTTTTGTATAAAATGATTGTCATCCATTTACTAGTTGTGTTAATGAAGGACAGAGAAGTAATAGAATGCATCTTGTAATATTTTATATTAATTTAATTAACTTTTAATCAATTTTAATTGCTTCTACCAATAAAAGATAATGCTTTTTGATCATTCATTTGCTGTTATTATCATCATCATCACCCTCATCTCATCACTCATCACATCTTCTCAGAGACTCTTGGCTGCTGGATCTTCCTGTTCTTTCACTGTTAATGACGCTCAAGTACAAAGACAGCTTAGTGTTTTTCAGCCAAATTAAAAAGTTCCGGTGAAAGCTCAATGTGACTATTTTTAATTTCATAAGGTTCCTTTTACAGCATTGATGTTGTAATGTAATTAAAATATAATCAGTTAAATAGACTTAAGCATTCATTTTGTTGTTAAAGCGTAAAAAGAGACGAAAGACTATTTAAACACGGGTACCGTCATTAGCCGCAGGCTAGCGCAGAAGCTCTATTGAAAATACCGGGGTACACTTCGCTAAACCGACCGCAGTCAAAAACCGCCACTCACCAATCGTGGCTTAGCAACTGTAGGTACGTGCAGGGGCTTTGTCAAGCTTTTAACCGAGGGAAACAGGCCAAAGCGTTGTGCAAATGGATTGTGCACATCTGATACCCGGTATCCCTAAAGTTTAGACGAGGTGGTGGAATTTTTTCTCTTTTCAAAATCTAAACACCAAGGGGAAAAATGCCAGCGTGGATCTGTGAGGGGCACTAAAGGAGCGGAGTTGGTTTTGTTTTCGATATTTCTGACACATTCATAGACAACAATAACTCGCACACCTCTTACCCTAAGAGTGAGGGGCAGAGTTCAAGAGGGAGACAGCTCTGGGAAAACGCTGTTCCTCTGTCTGCTGGTTTTTGTCTGAGGTAGCCTGAAGCGCTTGCCGAAAGGCAGGAGTGACAACAGTCTGTGACCAGGGTGAGAGGTGTCCAAAGGGGAGGTCCACTACGATATCATATTTTAAACTTTAGTTGATGGGTAATGTAGCAGATGCAAGACGTCAACATGACATTATAGAATGCTGTTGTACCCCAGTGTCGTGGAGACATTGCACTTTGTCTGGAAATGAAAATCATGTTGACGTCAGAACTCAAGGTCAGGCCAGCGGCCAACATAAAACCAACCAAATATCAACGTCTGATGATGTTACAGCTTGACGTTGTGAGGACGTTACCAGTATGACGTCTATCAGACATTGGATTTTGATTGCCATACCTGATGAATAAATGTCAGTATTTGACATCAATATGACGTTGGTTTAAGATGTTGGCTCAACGTTGGATTTTGGTTACTTTCCAACACAATCTAAAATCAACTAAATATCAACATCATTTGATGTCGTTATTGGATATCAAAATAACGTTATCCTTAGATGCGGCTAGATATTGAATTGTGGTCACCTGACATCACAACCTAAATCGAACCTAATATTAATGTCTTATGATGTTGTGTGCCTGCAGGACTACAACTAATTGCACTACAGAATGTTATGTTTACACTCATCCACAAATTACATGTAAACGCATCAGCTTTTAACAGCGTAATACTCACTACTCTTGAGTACTTTTGAAAGGGCTACTTTTTACTCATACTTTGAGTAATATTTACAACAGATACTTTTACTCTACTTACACTACAAGTTAATGGTACTTTTACTTAAGTATGATTTTTCAGCACTCTTTCCACCACTGCATGTGACAGTCACGAAGCGTCAGTGCAGCATCAATCCGGACAAAATTTCTAACCAATATGCACCGCTTGCACCGATTTTGATCGATCTGTGCAGCGCTGCATGAAGTCGAACGCGCCTAAAATCTGACAATAGATGGACTTTAAATACACATTTAGCTATAAATAAGAAGTCAAACTAAAACTAAAAGAAGTAAATCTGAAACAATTTTAAAATCATCTTTTCTGATTATTTTGTTATTTTTTACATATTACATTCGGTCCCATAATTAATAAGAGACTTGGGAATATTTGAACTTCATTCATCCGTTCATTTTCCTTCTGGTTAGATCCTTTATCAAAGATCGCCACCGCGAAATAAACCACCAACTAATCCAGCATATGTTTTACACAGTGGATGCCCTTCCAGCATCAACAAAGTACTGGGAAACAACCATACGCGCGCGCGCGCGCGCACACACACACACACACACACACACACACACACGCACACACACACACACACACACGCGCTATGGACAATTTAGTTTATTTAATTCACCTACCGCATGTCTTTGGACTGAGGGAAACGGAAGCACCCGGAGGAAACCCACGCCAACATGAGGAAAACATGCAAACTCCACACAGAAATGCCAACTAACCCAGCCATATTTTAACTTTGAAAAAGTCTGTTTTTACAGGCTTTAACTGTTTATCAAAATAAAAATAAATAAAAAAATATCATTTAAAATATGCACTGCTGTTTACATTTATTTTGTTTTCACAGAGTCTTTGGTAAAATGTATTTCTATGTGATTTGTTTAGTTGAAGAGGTAATAATTAGTTTCTAACCACGTGGAGGCGCTAGATACTGTTTTATACTGAACAACTCTGACTTCCGTCTACTGGCTTACAGTGATGATGTCTCGTTTACATGAATCACACTAATGATTTAGACACAAAACCATAAAATCTGAATCGATTTAGTGAGTGTGAGTCATATTTGACTCATTTTGTCCCAATGTTTTCATATCTGACACATTATCAATTAAAATGCCTCTAAACGTGATGGTACTTTTTATATAATTTACTGCTAGTGTGTTGTTTTGTTTCTTAATGATTTGGAACAGTTACAGCATTATTTATAACATGTTGTATCTGTGTCAGTTAAAGTTTGTAGCACCACATTGCCAGCATTCTCGTTCTGAGCTCTTTGTCTGTCTGGCTGGTCGGTCTTTTGTGTTTGGAAATGAATATCTGAACACACTGCTTAGTAAACAAATTATGCTGTCATAACAGGCAAACCTCAGACAGAATTCCCGAGCCTTCAACATTTTAGGTGTTTCTTTACAGAAAACATGTTTACTGCTTCTCAGAACAGAATGTACCCTATGAGGGACAGTTTTAGGACATTATTATGCTTTACAAAGAGATTTGAAGCAATAACAGAACATGGACATGTAAATAATATGATGATACCTTAGTGTTCTTCATAATTTCATAGAGAGAGATTTATGGTTAAGCATATTTCATAGGTCAAAGTTTAATTCACTGATTTTCCTTCAGCTTAGTTCCTTTATTTATCAGGGGTCGCCACAGCAAAGTGAACCGCCAACTTATCCAGCATATGTTTTACACAATGGATTCCAGCTGCAACACATTACTGGGAAACACCTATACACTAACATTCATTCACACACACACACACACACACACACACACGTCTTTGGACTGTCAGGAAAACCTGAGAACCCAGAGGAAAACCATGCGAACATGGGGAGAACATGCAAACTCCAAAAAGAAATACCAACTGTACCAGCCGGGACTAGAAACAGTGACCTTCTTGCTGTGAGGCGACAGTGCTAACCACTGAGCCACCATGCTGTCCTCAAAGTTGAATGAAAAACAAAAACAAACAAATAGAAAAGTGATTGTTAGTGTTGATATATCAATGTAAAAGCAATACAAATAATATTAAAAAATACGATCTTAAATACTGCCATTTCATTGGCTGTTTCACTTGACATATTGACACGATCAAATGTCATACTTATTGTAAAGATTTTTGGCACCAATGCCCTTCCATACAAATCTTCATTCAGTAATTTTCCTTTGGCTCAGTCCCTTTATTCATCCGGGGTCACCACAGCAGAAGGAACCGCCAACTTTTCCAGCATATGTTTTACACAGTGGATGCCCTTTCAGCTGCAACCCAGTACTGGGAAACATCTATACACACTCATATACACACATACATTACAGCCAATTTTGTTATTTACCACATGTCTTTGGACCGCGAGGGAAACCAGAGCAACTGGAGGAAACCCAATACGAGGGGAGAACATACAAACTCCACACGGGAATGCCAACTGACCCAGCCAGAACTCGAACCAGTGAGCTTCTTGCTGTGAGATGACAGTGCTAACCACTGAGGCATCTTCAAAGTTTAATGAAAAAAAAATGAAAAAAAGAAGAGTGAGTGTTAGCATTGATATATCAAAGTAAAGCAATAACATTAAAATACGATCTTAAATACAAATACTGCAATTCTGTTGGCTGCTTCGCTTGACATCGCTTAACGTGATCAAATGTCTTATTGTAATGATTTTGGCACCAATACCCTTCCATATAAATCTTAACTATATTATATTCTCACTATGACAAACAACAACAGACTATAAATCACAATTAGGTTATTTTAATTTGCAGTGTTGTTCCTCAGTGTTATTCGCAGTGATTCTATTTTACAGCAGTAAATATGTGGTATATGTGGTAAATAAAATGCAGCTTTCTGCGACAAGCGAAACTCTCTGTTTTTTTACCCCTAGCCCAAGGGCTTGAAATACAGACATCCAGCAAACAGCATTAAGTGCAGCTGTCAGAGAGCAGGCAGACGGAGAGAGTGTATAAACACGGGAGAGAGGAAGACAAAGAGGCTCACAGTAGGGAGAGAGAATGAGACTGAGCGAGAGGAACAGAACAGGCATGAGTGAAGCACATGTGAGAGGGCGGGGCTTAGCACACAGACGCGGCGGCAGCATGTGAATGAGGCAGGTCTGTGTGTGTGTCATAGGCTGTGACGTCATAAAACCCACACAAGCCCCGCCCACTTCCTGCCGTCAGAAGTGCTGAATCAGTCAGAGCTGGATCAGTCTGGCTGGGAGTTTCCTGGTTTAGACCACAGGAGTATGGCAAGCCGCGTTGACGATTTCATTCCCTGAATATGAAATTGTGACGTCAACAATTCAGTTTCTTAATCATCTTGATATATAGAACTGAAGTAGTACTTGTAAGAGTGACTGTTTCGATATCAGGAATTACATTTCCTCTAGTTAAAATATAAAAACAACGATGCCATCGTCAACAGAAACAAAATTTTTGATATCAAAGCTTAACCAGCGGAGGAAATGATAAGGTATACGCTTAAGGACTTTTAATTTTCAAAAAGCCAGCTCAAACACTGGTGAACATACACCGTATGCCGTAGCCAGCCTGGTGAAAGGGGTCATTTTTTTTTCTCAAAAAGTGGACCTTTCTGCAGTTATTCACCTCATTTTCTATTTAATTGTGAAATGTAAGTACTACATTTTAAGCACTATTTTAGCTGGATTAGCTTGTGGGATGGCCATGAAAACCACACTTTTTAATGTAGCTAGCTACCAAAGATATTTCCTAAAGATTT